ATATACACGGTTACTCTTACATTGTATAGTTTAAACTACCGAATCATCAGTTTGAGGTTTTGGAGATTGTTGGATTCCATTGAAATCATGAACAGTTTAGATCACTATCGAAAACCTGAAATCACTGGATGGTCGTTTTGTCGTAGTATAGGACTCCTCAGCAGTGCTCACCCACGATCCCGCACGCGAGACTCAAACCCAGAACCTCCAAACCACTGAACCGGGATCTAATGGTGTTAGTGTCTAACTTCAAACAATCTGTGATGTCACGCGACCATCTTATGCTTTTACCAATTGTATTTGTTATTTGTCACTATAATTTTTGAGTTGATTAATTTGTGCATTGACTAAGCTTGTTACATTTAAATAATGCAATGAGAAAACAAAGTTTACGAGAACTATTTGCTGAATTAACTCAGTACTTATAAAACAAACTGGTCACACTGTCATTAAATATTCATTTTTTCCACTGAATAAAAAAAGCAAATAAGATCATTTCTATTGACTTGGCCCAATGTCCAAATTTTTTTCTAAATCATTAAATTTCAGGTTGATTAGGATATCTAAAATGATCATGTATTTACTTATGAAGATATTTCTATATGAAAAATAAAAGATCAAACTTCACAAATTCTAAAATAAGAAAAAACAAAGAGATTAAAGAAAAGACGATACGTCATACATTTCTCTGGCTAACAATTTAACAGTGCATATGAAAGTGCTTTCAGTATTTTTATGACTACAGCTTCAGTACATCTCAATATTCGCCTCTGAACACTTAGATTCAACATCACAAAGCGTATGTGATATCAACTCTATGTTCCGTATACACTAGGTGTTTAGGAATAGGGAAAAATGATCACATATCTAAAGCTCTTATCAGGCAAATACAATTCATTAAATTTGATATCTATTTATGAATGACCGCAAAACATTAACTAAAAGCTAATTCTTCGGTTAGATGATGTAAACTTTTAAAGTATATCTTTATGATGATTGAGATTCATCGGAATCTTTACATTGCTACCTGTAGTATCCAAAATTCGCTTCAGGGTGGAATGGATTGTTCTTTATCCTTTTAATCATTAGTTTTTAATTTCTAATCAGATTAGGTTAGATTTAGAGATTATCTGGTTCAAATTTTTAAACTATTATTGTTTGCAGTAACGTTTTATACTGAAAACTTACCTGATATAGTGACATAACTAAGACGTATTAAGAAATTCCAAAATCACCATGAAAACGGTGAATATTGTCTAAATAAACATAAGCAGAGTACAAACATTGATGATACTTATTTGTCTGTATATATTTTTATTATACAAAGTTTATTTCAGTGATTTTACTAAAAAATTTACTAAAAAAAGCAGCTTTAGGGAGGGTGAACAAAGTTACAATGATTATGATATTTTAGTCATGTCTAATTGTTCAAGCTTTTAACAAGAAAATATCATCATAATATTAATGTTAACTGAAGACAATTTATATCATAGACTGATATCATCGAAAGTCTATTAGCAGTATATGTTACTATGTCATAAAAAAATGATAAAGGAAAATGGCGAGACTATAATTTATAGACGAACCAATCAGATATAGGATAACGAGTCATGAATTTGGGCGCGAAATTCATCCATACATTTGGTTAAATAAAATTTTGGCATTATAGCTGAAGTCAGTTTTTGATGAAAACCCTAAATCTAATTTTTGACCTTAACGATCAACTGTAAATGAGAATTCTAACTGCTTTATAAACCCCCCCATTAAGTCCTAATCAGTAGGTGTCCACTCTCAAGATCACTTCAGAGTCGCTCAAATATCATCCATGAAATATAGTCTCACCAGGAACATTACAATTCTTCTCAGTAAATTTAACAGAAATAAGTAAACTGATAGTTGATGTTATAAATTTCAAGCAAATTCAGTGTTAATGAGGCATTAAACAGATAAGAAAGAGAATAAATTGGATTTTCATAAACGAATAACTTTTAAAATATTCAAAAATAAAATATGTGAACTGGACCTTTTTTTCCCATTCAGTTATTCTCATAAAACATGTATCAGCAATTTTTGGTACATTTTTTTGTAGTTGTCTAGAATTCAAGCCAAAAAAAATAATGTAATCCATTGAATGTATAGTACCTTCTTTGTTTATCGACCAACATCAGTGTGAATAATGAGATTTGTTTATAATATTGTTTTATTCTTTATTTTTTTTATTAACTCCATAATATAAAAGTTGTGGGGTAGATTAGAAAGTTATCCATATTTTATTGCTATTTGTATATAAAATTAACACTATGATTACTACATTAATCTTCAGTACTATACTGTTGTTAGATTCCATTTACATACAAAATACAAATGAATTACAAAATTTTCATGATTAACAACCAATAGACAAATAGTTTATTCATAAAAGAGAAGAAAGAATCAGAAGTAAAATTCATAAGGAACCAAAGTACAAACACGACATGTATTGCGGCGCATTCATATTTTAAATCTTACATAAAGTAAACTTTTATCACATTTTATTAACATATTGTATGAGCTTCTTTTTGACAGGAGTTATGATATATAATAGATGTGGTTTGATGATAAAAATTCTTAAAATTGGTATAGTATAATGAATGTTTGTCATAGATTAATGTTAAAATTAATGTTGAAGTAAAGAGACGCCATGGATTTTAGTAATTTACCAGTCAAAGGATGTTAGGACCAGCTAATAATCTTTCACTCAGGTATGGTTTAAAAGAATAAACCATAAGATTTACAAACTCAGTAATTATCGAGTACTTCAATGAAATATATAAAACTCTCTCCAGTTCAACAAAATTTTACCGTTATTTACTTTCAATTAATACCTATGTAAAGTATGTTATTACCGTGTGACTATCCATATTATTCGTGGCCCCAAATATCTCTCTTATAAAAAGTCATTGGTAACCGCTTAAAAGAGATTTTGATCAGGTTCACCGATAGACCAGGTTATTCACACAAACAGTTTTGAGTGTTTATTAAAATGAAATCTAAAAACACTGTTAAATATTTTTATACTAGTTTAGGAGTTCATAACAGTGGAAACCTATAAACTTAAAAGTCATCGCAGCCAGTGCGTTACTTTCAGATAACTAAGTTGCCATATAGTGGTTAAGATTTCTTATATCAACCAATTTATCTTCGTTAGTAATCGTTGAATCAGTTCAAATATGATAAAAGTCTTTCATTCAAGTATTCTCAATAGAAATTCAGTAATGAATTGCAATAGTCGTTCAATGTCTCCCGATTTCTACTAGTTCCCAAGATTTCACATCAAAATAGTTTTCATAACTCACAATTGATTGATCACTGGGTGGTGACCAATGTCATGCTTGTCTAGTCCTTATTAGTGCAGATCGAATGCTATCGATCATGTTGCAATGTGGCCACCAGTCTAGGTGACTCGACACTGCGGGCACTATATATTGAGATTTAGATGATGATTGGAGGTAGTCAACAGGAAACCCTGGACCCGGTTTTCGTGCTACTTGGTACTGGTCAGCAAGGTGTACCTGTAATCTTGAGGGAACTGGTGCTCCCTGGCGGATTCGATCTCGTGTCATCCAGCTTCACAGTCAGAGACGTTACCACTGAGCTATCCGAGCCGTGACTAACCTCGTGTAGGACTGAGATGTAATCACAATTGATTGATCACTGGGTGGTGATCAATGTCATGCTTGTCTAGTCCTTATTTCATAACTTAGTAAACTAAATAAGACAATACTTTTTTGTAATCGGCTGTTTGAACAGCAACAATTCATTAAAAAAACTATCTAATAAATATTGAATAAGTTGAAAAAAGGGAATTTCAGTATCAGATAAACAAACTTTCATAACATGATAACGACTGAAATTGCACACAACATGGTAATGATTAGAAAAAAGAGAAGAGTATGATATCTTGTCGAAACTTTAAAACAATACATTCTTTAAATAATAATTCCGTATATAATAACTACTTATTGGGAAAGATAATCAATAGTCTAGAACTAACAAATTCTACTTATCAGAAATTTCATGCAATTGGTTCCCTTTATGAATTTAAATAGAGCAAGAACAAACATTGATGCAGAATAGTATGAATTCATTTTATTTCGAGGTTTCTCGTCAGCTGCTTACAAACCAAAAATTGTGATAGAATTTTTACATGGAGATAGTGTGAAACAATTGACAGAAATGAGTGTAAATAACGTGATTACAATAATAACTATATATATATGCTAGAAACAGGTCAGAGGTCAAAAGAGGGGAGTTAATCCAGGGTGGGTGGTGTAATAATTTAGTGAAGTTCATAAATTGTGTGATAATTGTAGAGATTAATGGAATTAAATAATGATAAGGTAGATTACGTAATAATAATTAAATAGGGTTTGGAAAGTTAAGATGATTTAAGAGGATCAGGTGACGGAAATGTTTGAATAAAATTTATTTTAAGAATCAGGTAATAGGGGGGGAGTATAAATTATCTTAGAATAAGTAAATGAATAAAATAACCAAAACACAAAACAAACAGAAACAACTACCCTGGTAATCTTTTTGTTTGAAGAAGGCTAAGTAAAACTTCATATATAACGTACAGTTTAATAGAGCATGTGTAATTGATATATATTTTTACCGTATATAACACACACTAGTAATAATTATACTAATCTAGATTATATGTTCTGTTTAGTTTATCCCTCAGAGTGGAGTCTACTTACTTATCACTAACAATAAAAATAACTGGTGTTATGACATTACTTTAATAATATTTTGATTTCTTTTAAATTATCACTAACACTGACTTTCTCTTGATTGCAACTTTTGATGTTATGCCTGATAGATGAGTTTATTATGAGTGTTGTGCTAACTAACAATTTACAAAAATAAAGCAGTCAATTAAAACTAATCTTGTCACAAAAAATCATCTTTTGAAAAATAAATGAATAGATCAATGATTTCCCACCCCACCCCTTTTATAGAGTTCAAATAACATTTATCCACCGCCAATGGATTGGGTACCAAGACGTCGAAGTTTAAGCGGAACACCATTTAGAACTAGCTGTTATCCAATGATTTATTATTCTTCAACACAACTTCCCAGAAGAAGATCACTTTGTGTTCCACGGCGTCGTTATTCATTTTCCACTCAGCGAAATGCCTACACTGAACCTAACAAAGTCACTTTGGTTGGTAAATCCATGTCCAACTATTCTGGTCCATATTTTGTGTATAACAGTGCAGGCAGTAGTTTATACCAAACTCCAGAATCAAACGGTTATTATCGACCTCATTTGAGACCAACGATCTGGCGTGATTATGAAGTCAATAGGCCTATGAACAATGAAATTTTACCAACATCATACTTACATGCTAGTTCACCGCCAAAACAACATATTTTATCTCCGGTATTTCGACAATTTTTATTTTATTTTCAAAGTTTAATATTATAAGTTAATATCTAAATTCCTCCTTCATTACTGACAGAATTGTTTGTTCTTCTAATTAAAAACTGAAATTCAACTTAAATATTTAAAATTCTCAATAGAAGAATAAAGAAATGACATATTTTTTTATAATCATTATAAGAATGTTCAAAGATTGAATAAGATCTGAATGAATTGAAAATTTCAATCGGTAAATTTGTGTTTATTGAATAGTGGCACATATCAACATTAATATTATAAAACTGAGAAGATGAGCCATTATTAGTTTGAATCATAAAGAAGATATTCGGTTTTCAATTCAAGATAATAAAAAATAAACAGGAATTATCCCAAACTTTATAATGTAAACTTATGAAATCTCAGTTCATTGAGATCAGAACTAATGGTAAAAATGAATAGCGCTTATTCATAAACTCTGATAAAGATGTGAGGTTAACAGTGAAAGCAGTTATTCAGATTTTAGTTTACAAGTAAATCAGCAATTAAATTTTATACGTTAACTACTAATTAAAATAGTGATTACCATTGAATTAGTTGAGACAACAGTCTAAGCTAATGAGAAAATGTATTGTCGCTATTAAGCAGAATGCAATGACATTCATAGCAAATATGATTTATCACACCATATTACTATAGATTTGCTTTGTTCACCACCAAAAATTTATTGAGTAGAGCAAATCATCTGTAAAATAAGATATTTACTTTAATAAGTCGATCTAAATCAACTACGAAATATATTAGGATGTGTTTTTTAGGCGAACCAGATTTAAATTCATTATTCTCTGATGATGCATTAGTTATACCCAGTTTTAAATTATTAGGATACTTAATGTCAAATCTAAGTAGTACGGTATGTTGAGTCATTAACTGATTATCTATTTGATGACCAAGAAAGGAAATCAATGGAACTATTCACTATTCTAACATTCACATAATCCTTGGTTGTACATATTGGAAAAGAACATATTTAAATGGCTCTTATAATACTATTTTTACATCAACATAGAACTCCGATAAATGCACCTTTTATATACCTTTCGATAAATATATCTATTATTATCATCTTTCCTAATATTTCTTTTCGGAGCAGAAAGCTAAGGTCTATCTGAAGTATCGTTCTCTTCAAAATTTAAGTAATCTATACGATGGTGCAGATGATGTGAGTCGAATAATAAAATAACATTTAATTTTTTAAAACACACACACGTCTAGAACCAATACAACATACTTCATCATTCACAGTGTTTGATTTGATTTCAGTCATTTTATTTTTTTTCATTACGCTTCAATTGTTATGGTGATGATGATGATGATGAGGATGAGGAGGAGGACAAAGTAAAATGAACATGAAATTTTAATGTATGAAATCAACATTTTTGCAAAGTACCCAAATGCATGTGTGTATGTTTTGATTTCTTTTTTTAAACTGTTTGCGCTTTTTTGTGCATTAATTACTAAAACAATAAAATAAAAGTCAGAAAAAATATTCCAAGGAAATCAAATTGATTTTTATTTTCATCCGAAATGTTTCATTGTTAAAAGACTTTTGTTTTGTTTCGTTCTGTTTTCAGTATTTTTTTTCTCAAATGAAAATTGTAATCATTAGTTACTATTTTTTTCCTCCTAGTTACTCGGCTGACATAATTTAAATGATACATTTTAATAATCATTATTCATAGAAACTATTTTCTTTTATGTAAATGGATGTGATGAATATGTATGATAATTATGTTAATCAATGTGCATATTACAGAATTTATGCTTGTTTTAAGATTAGCAATTAAAAACAAACACTTTCTTCAATAATAATTTGATTTATTCACATAGTTTCGTTCGATATTAGTTTATATATTCAATTCATTTCTTGTTTTAATTGTTACTCGTTTACACAATTTCTTTTTTTGTTTGAAAAGTTGTTTTCTATTCAAAAGGACAACAATCTTCATCATGTTTTATTACACATTTATGATAGTTTTATGGAATGTTGACTAATTTTTATGTTCATAATGAAATAGAGCTTAGTAACTAGATGTTTTGCTTAGAACGTGTTCGTTTTTTTTTGTTTTTCTTTGTGGCCGTTTAGGAATAACAATTGTTTTTTGTCATATTTCTTGCATAAAAAAAGAGTTATGATAATGAAAGATCGATAGAATCTGTTTAATATTTTTATTAAACAATAATGATAATTATAAGCAAAGATGGATAGTGGCTAGCAGTGGAATCCAGGATGCGCGTTTCGTTCTGTTTGGGACTCATCGGCTGGATGTATCTGCATTTCAGAGTTGATGTTCGAGTTCGAGTCCCAAAGTGAGCATCAACTCTGAGATGCAGGTACATCCAGATGACGAGTCTCAAACGGGACGAAACACGCGTCCTGGATTCCACTGCTAGCCACTATCCATCTTTGCCTATAGTGCTTGTAAATTAAGGCTATATCGAAGCATACGCACAGTATGCACATATGCCAATAAGAGACTGATCAATTTCAGTCCTAAAAACATCAATGAGAAGACTCAAGTAAAGCAATGCCAAGTGAATAATGGTAATTGTTTTACTTCTATCAGTGTATGACATAATATATGGCTTAAATATACAGTGAATATTGATGAAACATAAAACTACTTTCGTTAGATAGAAATAAATTAATATAATCAGTCACTTTAAATATGTATAGTAATAACTTCTATTTAGCTGAATATTATTAGTTTTTATATTCAGTAGAGATAATTAACATGTTACTGTAGTGATAATAAATTAGGTGGGGAAAATCAATTTATTTCATGCAAAATACACAAGTGATTTCGTAAAATATCCCTTCAGTTGTTCTTTGTATGTTTTATGTTTTTTTCTAATTATGTTGTCACTACAATGGATCTTTGTTTTCATTCTTGTTCATTTCAATTCAATCTTCTGCTGACAAATATTCCACTTATGATTAGTGTTACATACTACTTATATATGTCAGCATAAGCGACATACACCATATTCATAAATTAAACATAGAAAACATGATCATTTTAATTATTTCTGAAGTGACCAACGTAAGGGAATGTAAATATATAAAGATGATTCAATTTCAAATGATTTTTTTATCATGGACTGATACCATTAAAGATGAATTGTAAATTAGCATAATGGCTTTTTCTGAAAAAATCATTTATTGTACAATTTTGTAATCAGTTTCAGTAGTATTTTACAAACTAGTAGAAGTATATAGGATAGATTAAAAGTACTACACTCAGTAAAAATTCAGTGTATATGTGTATTTGAACTTAAAATATCAGATACAGTGATATTACATTTAGCAAAAACCAACATAAAGCACTGACCACTGGCGTCCCATCGGGTCTGTTGTGAGATAGTAACTCACTGAAGACAATGGTGAACGTGTGGCTCAAATTCGTGGAATGGTTGAAGTTGGACATTAACACTGTGTGTTGCCGATTCAGTGGTCTAAAGGTTAGGCGTTCACGCGCGAGACTGATAGGTCCTGGGTCCGAATCTCGCATGGCGGGATTGTGGATGCGCACTGCTGGGGAGTCCCACAATTGGACGAAACGGCCGTTTAGTGCTTCCAGGTCTTCTATAGTATTCTAACCTCAATTGACTCATGATCTCAATCATTAAATTACTATAATATCCACAAAAAACTTTTTCCTGATATTAAATATAATATTTTATGTGTTTATGGATAAAAAGTTGGTTGAAAATTAACATTTTAAAGATTAGTTTCTTGGGATTATTGCAACAGAGCATATGGTTTCATAGCATCAGAATCTTATTTTTCAATGCTTTCATTGTAATGCTCTGCTTCGCTTTTATTTCAAGTACGTTGTCAATGTAACACTATTTAGAAGACAACATTTTCTTATCTACTGATGTAACGTCTCACTATTAATTCTAGTAATATTTGATATGAAATTGTTAGTCTCTGACGCAATTAATCTAGTTTTCTTACTTGAAGATAGAGCTCTTTGTGTATTGAGAACTTGTACATTTCTATATTAAACTGCCAGTAAACTTTATTTTTATTGAACATCATATCAACTTTCAACTTTTATCTGATCATAAATATAATTTATTGAGAGTTATCTTATGAAATCTCAACATAAAGCCAAAGTAAATAGATTTATATAAACATCACATATCAACATGAGATCAGTTGATGCGTAAAGTACTGATTCGATTCATCTATCTGTAGTATTGGGGTAAATGGAATCAAACCTTTGAGATGATGCTGAAGATTTGTAGCTTAGGTGGAAGTTAGTGCTTATGATGTCGTTCAGAAGAACGATGAAAGATCCACGATCAAACCACCCATCTCAGAGAACAAAACTCCATCTGAATCAAATCTAACAGATAGCATAAGTTCTCAAAAGATTATAAATACATCTTACTGACAAGTGCCGATTAACCCAAAACCCAGGGTCAAGGTTTTTACTTGATGCTCTTATCAATAAGTTCCTAAAGTTTTCATCGGATACTTTGAAGGAAATTAGTTTAAAGTACAAAACCTTCTATAATCTTTAATCTATCTTTATAATTATTTACGCAAATCATTTTGTTCTATTTTCTTAATCACAGGAGAACGGTATGCCACGTGTAATCCATACATCATATAGCCGTAATTTTCCACTGCATACTAGTCGTTTGAGTTCAGTGCCACCGTCAGCAGTTGGGACGTATCGTTCAACATTAACTAGTACAGATTATGGATTGCCACCTGTTGTACATCGAAATTACAGAACGAATCGGTATATTTATGAAACACCATATTATACATCAACATATGTAAGTAGTTCATACTTTGTACGATCATAGTAACTTAATGTACTATTTTCCCCATGCTTATACTACTACTGTACATCATGTCTTTTAGCATGTATTATCCAATCATTTCATCAGAGAAGTTTTAATAGTTTTTGTGTTATTAATTTAACATGGTTGATGAATTGATTTAAAATATAATACGCCATATAAACTGCATGAATAATGATATCATAACAATTAACCGCCGTGTAAATACAAACATTAGAAGATAAAGCACTTTGAGAATTTTAAACCCAGAAACCCCGGAAATATAAATTTCAAGTTTCATAATACGTATCACTGTATATTACTTGTCTTTCTTAGATGGCTTTATATCATCGTTTATATTTTTACAAATACTCACTAAACAAGCATTGTAGACATTATCATCTAAACGGATTTCTTTAGAATTCTAACTATTGATAAAGAAATTACTTTATATCAAATTCCTTAGAAACGCTTTAAAATTTACCAATACTATTGTCAGTTATTTTTAGTAGTGAATAGAAAATAAAAGTATTTTATCATCATTGAAAAGGTTATACAGAAAAATAGCATCAACATATATAATCTACTTATGTGTTATACATGAAAGAGGAATTTCTTTAATATTCTAATCAAAAAACACTAAACCTACAAGTGCCACATTTTAAGACAGGTTACTGTTAACTTTGAAAGGTTACAAAACCAATCAATCTATGTAAAAATATTTTTCATTTCATAGGTTACAAAAGTATTTCCTGACTACTGACGAAACTTATAGGTTCACTGATAATGTTTATTGATATTGCTTATCAGAAATAATCATATATCATCAAGATCAAAACATTTGAATCTCATGTTGATTACACCGTTATTAAAAGTAGACAGGTAAAAAAAAACAGCGTTGTTATAAACAATTAGAATGCACCATTGATATATTACTGAAATATAAGCCAAAACAATTTGCTGCAGTATTTTTCTCATCAGGTTCGACATTTACAAATTTATCAATATTTTAATATAATAGCTATTCTAAAGGTATTATATACTTACCCGCTGAGAATTATAATCCGACGTTTTACTGGTCAATGTAATAAAATGTTTATGAACTTGTGTGTGTGTAGAATCTGAGGGTCAAGTTATTAAAAAATAATTTTTAATCCAAGTGAATGTATCCCATATTTTTAAACGGTCAGTCAGGTCTTTAAAATTACAAAGAATGTTTTTATAATTACGATGTGAATGCCTTTATCAAACCACAGACAAGAACGTTCATCATAGTTAAAACCCTTTATGACTACTCAAGAACTAGTGGTTCATGTCGATTCTGAAAAATGTGATATAAAAACGACTTTTATTAATTGTTAAAATGATTGAAACGAATTTAGTAAGTTACTAACAATTTGAGAAGCAGATTTTGTAACATTACAATTTATAGAACGATAACAGTAATCTGTCAAAAGATAAACCAATTTTACATAATTAATATATTTATTGAAGTTTTCTACAGAATTTCCTGTATACAAATTAGCAATTCAACATATAAATTCGTCTGAATGGTTACACAACATCTTGTTGTTGAACCAATGTTAGAACCTAAATAGTTATCTAAGAGTTCTTGATTGGAACTAGGCTTAAGCTTTAAAGTTTAATTGCTTATGATATACAATCTAAACAAAAAGAAACGAGTATTCAATTTGTTTAACACAATCATTTATACATCTCAATGGTTAAGATTAAATCAGAAAAAGTTATTCAATATTAAATCCCGTGTAAAACAAAAAGGCAAAAGTCATTTTCTACATTCTAATTGTCTCCTTCATTTTTTTTTTGCAAAAACGAAAAAGAAAAATAACATTTTACCATTGTGCATTCACATTTGTTTAAATATTGTAATACAACATTCCATAGATTTATTTCGAGTTTATTTTCAAAGAAAGAAAGAATGAAATTCTTTTGGCTGTCATACGACAAAAATTAGAATGTCGTATGACATTTTAAGTCAGCTTATTTCTAACTGTTTTTATTTTAATGATTATAAGATGAAATTCATGTTAATTACTGAGTTGACGAAGATTATCCATTTTCAAATGGATATCATTTTGTTGATTAAATAACAAACAAACAAAACATTTGGTACATTTTATCATTATTACATAGTGATAAGAGTTATATCTAACTTTTGATTATGTAAAAAGAAACTAAATTCTTACCTTATATATATATATATATAATCTCTCTTTAATTATTAGATATTGAAAGATAGAACAAATGAGCGAAAATTCTTAATTGGATTTAAGTAAACTAATACATCTATGTGTATATAAGATACATTCAACACATTAGTCGTATTAAATATTTTTTTTCATTTATGGAATAAGTGTGTTCTCGAAAATCATTCACGAATAAAATCTGATCATTAATCTTTATTCTTCTCTATCTTATCGGTTCACAAAACATTCTATTCATAAAGCACCGTATTCACTTTTTAAAGGATATCCAAATTGAATTCACTTGGTATTGTTTGCTTGTATGTTTTCATTGTTGCTTAGGACTGTATTTGATCAGTCTCTTATTGTTCCTGATCAAATGCAGTCCTAAACAACAATGAAAAGATACAAGCAAACAATATCAAGTAAATTTAAACTTCACTTCATTGCACAAGCAGGTGGCTATCAGGACTCAGTAGCTAAGTGAATAACGTGATGGCGTTTGAAGCAAATCTTATAGGTTTCGAGTCCCAAAGTAAACATCGACTCTGGGGTACAAATACATCTAGCTGACGAGTCTTGAATAGGATGGAACGCGCATCCTCGACTCCACTGCTAGCCACTATCCATCTTTGCTTGACATGCAAATAAATTCTATAAAAATATACGGCGAATTCTAGAATAATTTTTTAGTTGTCAGTTTACAATTTTTTGACTTACATAATGGCGAATTTTAGAATAGTTACAATGATACTTTTCAACTTAACGTATATAAATACAGGGAAAATAGATAAATTCTCAATAACAACCTTATTTTAAGTCGGAGTATATTTGTTGAAGTTCTAATTATTATTAAAATCTTTCACCTGACTTTTCTACAATCGTTTAGAGTAATATTGAACCTATAAGAACTACTTATACAAGTATTGGACCAAGACGATATACATATTATTATCCATCAATTGTTACTACAAGACCATTGTCGAGTTCAGGTTCGTATAGTAACTTGTCTAGTGATATGCAAGCTGAGCGTAGACGAATTGAAGTAAGTTTTCATTGGTTATCTTGTTAATTTTTATTTTGTTTTTCATGAATACTGTAATAATGAAAACGTATTTGACTTTGAATACGTCTCAGTTTGTACATAATTTAATTCTCATAAGTTTATGATAACTGATCACCTCTATTATGTTTTGATCAGTTGGTCAGTTATGTTATTTGAGAACTTTACCTGTACGCATCTTACCTGTTATACTAGAATTAAATGTAAAACAAAGTCATATTGAACCCATTTTAGCATGGCATTTCAGCTTCGAATAATAAAATTTAATTTAGATCACTTTATAAAGAAACCAAACAGTTTAAAACACGACAGATGATTTATTCATTAAGATAAAAGATTACCCATTCATTCTGTTTAATTCAATATTATACATACAATAAGACAGTCAGTTATGTCGTATAAATATTTTAGCTATACATGAAATTATCATCATCTATAGGTCTAATCGACTGAGAATTACAGTTTTGATAGAAATGCCTTGATGAAATCATTCCAGTGGCGTACATTCAATGCTTGAAATACACAAAGTGTGTATAATGAGATTATCATGTTTGTATAAAAATGTGTTGATTCAACTCTAAGTAGATTTGTAGACAGAACACACAACATTTAACATTCTTTCACCTAACCAGTATCATAAACGATATACGTTACAAAATTTACAAATATTTTTTATGCTATCTTTTCTTCTATAACACCTTTTTTTACATAATTACCAGTAGTTTTGTACTTTTCTAAATATGCGAAAAACACTATCATTGTCTACCAAAGATTTTTTTAAATAAATTTTGCACCAAATGACCTTTAAAAAAGTAGATTCATCAAATAAAACATTGATCAATATAATATAGATCTTAAACTCTTGGTAACTATTTCAAATCAATTACTAGAAATCAATAAAGATTTGTTAAGGGGTGGAAAATAATAACAGTTTCTATTCTAAAACACTTTACAACATAACTTATACATTCACATCTAAATAGGTGAATTTCGAAAAAATGAAAAAAATAATAATAAAGTTACGTTTTTTCTCCATTTTTTTTCTTTACTGAATATTTGGAATCGCGTCATAGAGCGTTATAGTTAAGTTGAAATACAGAAATTACATCATACAACTTAACGGTAGTAGCAATATCATAAACTGATTATGCAATGAATACTTTTTAATTAAATGTTATAAATATCATTATCCTTTCAATATAAGGGTAGTTTAAAACAAAATAAATGAATAAACTACATAGTTAAAATAACCCATAGCGTCATTGAATAAGAAAAAAAGAATTCAGCAAAGAAAATGTTCTTTTCGACGAAATCATTTACTTAAGCTGTACATTCGTATATTTGACTATTATCTGACCGATAAATTCTGTTCTTCCTTACCCCTTGATTAGTACGTTAACCTCATTTGTTAGTTATTCTCGAATCCACTTTTTTGTGATACAATCCTTTCTATCCTTCTATAGACATATATTTGCTATGTAACTATATATACGAATGTACAGCTTAAGTAAATGATTTCGTCGAAAAGAAAATTTTCTTCGCTGAATTCTCTTTTTCTTATTGAATAAACTATATTCTAATGAAGATACTAAATTGTATGCATGATTATTACGTCATAGTTTGAACACTGAATTGAATAACTTGTCAGTTGTTCAATTACTTTGAGAGCAAATGCTGGAATGATAAATGAATATGATATTTTTTTAGTAAAACATGAAGATAATAATATAATGGTTGAATTTAGATAATAGATCAATATACATGACCCCGTACATTGAAAAACACTTGTATTATATATATGACAGCCTTTACAAAGCATTAGGCTTAATATTCGATACTTATAGTTACACTGAAACTCAAATATTGGATTTTAAGTTTAATTCAACAAATAGTAAATCTACAGAAGAAATGTGTTAATCAACACTGAAATTAATGTTTCTATATAATACTTAGTTTGTACAATTCTTTCATTCTGTAGCATCTCTAGAATTTGGGAACATATTATTAATCATTTACGTAAGGGCAAACTATATTTGACGAAATCTTATAAACATGGCTGTAGATTTCAATTTCAGTTAGCATAATCTTTATATTGGATGATCTCAAATATCTTCCTGAAATTCTTAATAAAACAATTTCCTTGTTAAATAAATAAATAAATCTCCATTTCAATGGTTGAAATCATGAGTCAATTGAAGCTAGATCACCATGGAAAACCTGGAAGCACAAAACGGTGTTAATGTCTAACTTCAACCAATTCATGGTGGTCTAGCTTCAATTGACTCATGATTTCAACCATTGAAATTTCTAAAAATCTCCACAAAACCCATTCTGATAATAAAATCTCCATTTTTCATTCAAATTGATATACTATTAACCTTTATAGGCACATATGACAAATCTATTTAAAAACGGTAGCTTCTGTTATATTTCTTTTTAAAGGAACAATGTAAGTATATATAGTTGATAATTTCTTGTATTGTTGTGTTCCAATGTTATTTGAAAACACTTCTGATTTTTATCAAAAGTAACTAATTATCAAATTAGTTGAAAAATGTTATCCCTAAAATGTTATGGTAACAAACATTTATTTGTAGTAATTAATACAATTCAGGAACGCATATCCCTAATTTTAAAGACACACAATCAAATACATTCAACAAAGTATAACAATAATCAGCTGGGTAATGACACCAATAAGTATAGCTAAAAGACATATCTGAGATTGAAGCAAGTACATTGTGTAATTAATTATTTTACAATCATTTTTTAAAACCCATCAGTTGATCCTCTACAAGCTCGACAATATTTGAATATGTTTCACATTTAATATATATCCACAAACTGTTCTGTTACCTTTGAATATTCATGATTCTAGATTACTTACTTGATCTGTTCCCTTCTTTATATGACTGACTTTTACTAAACTTAAATCTTATATTTCCAATAAATCTCATAATTGATTCTTTATGAATTCACCAGTGTTTTGAGACTAGTCATATAGAATTTATTCAATATCAACTAACATACAAATATCTCTACATGAAGTTTCATAGAAAATATGTTCATTTGGAAAACATTAAATGTTAAAATGAGCACACTTCTGCTTAGCCATTTTCTTACAACACATTTCAAACATATATAATGGATCAGATTGTTCGAAATGTATAGCGCAAATACATCACATTTTTCAGATAAACTCCGTCTTCTCATTTTTCTATTAAAATATATAACGGACTAGTTAGACTCAATAATTTGTATATGTCTATTAGCATCCTCTGGATTAAAATGACCCATAACATACTCTTGTTCTAGAAATAGATATTCGATTGATAATTAGTTATTTTCAATTTCCTGTTTGTTTGTTTTTTTAAAAAAACGCTTGGTTACAGTTTTGATAAACTTTTCATGTTACATATAATCAGTTTCATAATTTACTTATATTTCATTATCTGTTGAATGATTCCATTTCTTTTCTTTGTTGTTTGGCATCTGATCAAGTGTGTAAGTTAATATACAAATTAAAATGTCATTCAATTTATAAATGAAGTTTAGTCTTAATTCTGTTTTTAAAATCTTTCCTACTGATATCTAAAATTTGATATAAAATGAATTAAACTAACAGCAATAATTCAGAGGTAGTTATCATTGAATCCTGATCGTGTGAATTTATTTTCACGAGATGTATTATACTGTACAATTATTTATAGGTTTCACAATGTTTGCAATATTTTACAAAATGACTTGGATGAAACGTATCTTGTAAAGTGTGTCAATTTTACACGATTGTTGAATAGTTCTTCAAGCTGTAATATTTGATCATGAATGTTTGGTTATTGAAGATGAATCACTTATCAGATTTAGTCTCATTTTTTAAAGAAAACAAGGACTTCCTATATTATATAAATGTTCAAGAGAATGTTCCGCTGACTTCAAAGTTCAGAAGACATTAAATAAATATCATTCCTACATAGTACTCAAAAACTACATTGTAACACCAACTGAACATCTGAATAGACTATATCTGACTGATAAAGCTAGTAAACATAAGGTCAGTATTGAGAACATTTGATTCGAAACATTCTTTAGTAAGTATGAAGAAAGACAAGACACTCTAATGAATGTTTATTTCAACTGTGCTAAGCATAGAAGCCATTCAAATAAATAAGACTATATGTCATAAATATCCCATTCAACTTGTTTGAATAAATATAACCAATATAAACACAGACTGAATTATTCATTCTCATTGTAAATTTCACTCAGGCATCTATTCAGATACATTTTGATGTGTTGAAAAAAAGTACATCTTGTTTGTTTATGTTAAACAGACAGGATAATAGTTCACTTTATGTTTTCTAATATTCACCAACTGTTAGACCTTATTTCTTTCTGTTACTATTCTAGATTATATCCTTTAAAGATCAGGATCACACATGACTGCGAAACATTAAAAATTTATTTGACCACCCAGTTGGTTATTACTAATAACAAAAATTACCTGATTTGACAGGAGTAATTGTTATCAATAAATAATTACAATTTACACAAATCCGATTTGAATTTAAGCATTTAATTTCACTGAAACTATTTTAATTGGTCATCAGCATGGGTTTATTTTGTTTGTAGATTATGAAACTGTGTGAATACTTTGCAATATCACTTGCTTATTCATAGGCTGCAATATGGACACTAATTACACAACCAATATGTAGACTGATGCTTATCGACCAGATTAATATGATTTGTTACCAATTTTTTCTTAATTTTACAGTGTATATTTTCCCTGTATTCTAATATGTAAACTAATATACACTATTTTTATGTCAAAAATAAGTTTTCAAATATTTTTATAATTGTACATCGTATATATGTAATTTCACGCTATTCAATAGCGTCGTATGGACGATTTACTGGAATACAAATTGCCCTCACCTGAATACTACAGGGAAATGAGGGGATCCCTACGTGCATTGAATGACAAATTAGATGTTCATCGGAAAATGCTTGATCGTTACTCCGGAATTGATATGAACGCTACAACTGCATCAGTACAAGATCGAATTGAATCAAAATATCAACAACTTGCAAGCAGGTTCGTTGAGTGGACAGATATTTGAATTTGGTATCTTCTAACAAACGACTTATCTAACAAAATTTTATTGCTATTTACTTTTTTCCATGTACTGTTATATGAATGCTATACATAGAGTAGTTTTATATGATGGGTGTGTAAATACCTTCTATAATTTATTGTTTTGTGTGAATGTGTTAACATTCCATCTAAAAAAAGAGTTGATACAAAAATATCGATGGTAAAGTTATAAAAGGTGTAAAGTATATTTCAGTCTAGTTCATGATACGATTACAGAGCCAGTGTTAATTATTTAAACGTTTCCAATGATTAGTTCCTGGAATAAATTATGGATTGACAAACATTACATTGTCACACTAACCTACTTCACAAAGAGTATTATATTTAATTTATGGAAGAATTTCACTACACTTTATTATATATAGACATATATACCAGTTTCATAAAATCTAAGTGGAAATAATTCAACTGAAAATCCCCCCCAAAAAAAGGAAACGTTAAGTGTGATCGAATATTCAGCTTCATAGATACTGACTCATTCACCATGATAAAAAAATACCAATAGTCATTGCTATCGTATTTAAGCATTACACCTTTAGTTCGATTTCCTTTTTTAAGTAATACTATTAGCTTTATTCAAAAGAAACCAGTCTTAATTAGTAATATTGAACAAGTACATTTCTTGAATTTATAATTATTTCAACCTTAAATATTTTGATGCTTTAAACATTATTCTATCTAAAAATATTAATGATTGTTTTCTGTTAAGTTTCCACATTTCTGAAGGACTGGAAATAATTTTCCGTTAGTGGTTAACGGATGAAAATAAGACAATTTAAAATAAAATGAGGGTTTGCAATTCTGGTTAAGAAGTATTTTAGGTCTTTATAGTGGACGAGAAAACAAATTTCAATGTCTATATACCACTTGTCATAGTAACATAGCACTAAACCATCGTTATGGTTAACGTAAGGATTTCACGAAAAATTGAATCTGTTAATAAAGTATTAAAAATATTTACTAATGGTAATATAATTGAAGAGTGTTAAAATAGTCATTCTCAAACATTTAGATAGTGTATGACAAGAAGGCAAGATGTTTTAGAACCATGTAGCATACATGTATCATCTCCGTTCATTCTGTGCAACCTGATTACGTAATAAATTGTTCGGATATTAAGAAAGATAATTAAGAAAGATAAAACTCAGATGAAATGAATTACGAGATAAAAACATCTAGGATAATGAGGAAAAGTAAAGCTACTCATGAAACTTAATGTAAAACAGTCAAAACTAATGACACAAAATTGGATTTAGTATTAGGAAAAACTATCTGAGAGTACGCATTGTAGCGGACTTAAATTTTTGTGTAAATAACACTGACAAATTTAACTGTTGACTTATTAAGACTTGAGTACATTCTTACACAGGCTGTTTGTAGATTGATCCTATGGCTTTTATTATCACTGTTCCGCTAGTACATCAAAGTTTTGTTAACTAAAATCTTTCTATTACTGTATCCAATTTTACATGCTTCAGTCTTTAAATATAGAGTGCTGATTTACGATGTCAAACTCCGGCTGAATAACTTAAAATCTTAAAAGAAAAAGTATTCTCTGAGCTAGTTAATTTAGTCATGAATCTTTCAAGTATTAGGGAATTTCTCTAAAAAGTAGGCATTTACAAGAGAATAATTAAGTTTTCTCCATAAGTACTTATTCCAATATATTTTGTCATAGAAAGGATAATGGAAGCTTCACAAATAAACCACCCAGCTGAGAGAATACAACTCCATATAATTTATCCTAACCACTTGGCACTCGTCAGTAAGGCGTACCTGTAATCTTGAGGGAACTGATGCTCCCTGACGGATTCCATCCCGTGTCACCCAGCTTCATTATCAGAGGCGCTATCTGGGCCGCAAGTGGTCTCTTGTAGGACTGAGATGTATTTACAATTGACTGGTCATTAGGTGGTGATCAATGTCATGTATGTCAGGTCCTTCTTAGTGCACAAAACCTAGGTCCAGGGTTTCCTGTTGACTACCTCTAACCACCATCTTATCTCAACATAGTTCACGCAATGTCGAGTAACCTAGACTGGTAGCCACATTGATACTTGGTCGATAGGATTCGATCTGCACTAAGAAGGACCTGGCATTGATCACCACCTAGTGATCAATAAACTGTGAATATCTATCCTAACCTACAAATATTCTTAATAATCTCATACTTAAAAAAATTTCCCAAAATATAAATTGGTAATTTATTGTTAAGTTAATAAGTAAATTCAGTTTTGAAAGAGGAACTGTTAAATTTTATGAATATGAAAATATATCCGACTGGAAGTAATTGGTTAAAAAGGAAGCGTAAATGGCATTCATTCGTAAATCAGAGCTGATAAACTATCTATCAGCAGGGAGTTTTACTCCAACTGAGGAGAAAATCAGCGATTGTTATGATAATGATTCTCTAGTTTTTTCAATAGGATTTATAATAACAAACTATCATCAATTCGCTAAACGTTGTCATTCAAACGCAGAATCAAAACAACATATCAAGTTTCTTAATACTACTGATAAATAATACTGTAAATATTATCGTTTGGAAGATTAATAACAGTCTGTTACGTCAAACAAGATTAACTATCCAAGTTTGTTTTTTATATTACACTAATTTATAACAAGTTCATAAATAATTCGGTTAAAAAGAAAATCCAACTCTGAAGTAGATCTACATGAATTTACGTTTAGTAATATATTTTGTTTATTAGTAATTTTTACTTCAGTACATTCAGAAAGGTGAATTATTCGACCGTGTTTCTATTTTGATGAGAAACCACCTGTATAGTAGTGATTATTCATACAAATAACGTTTATATATTCCGTATATTTGAATACAAATTTCATCAAGACTGCATGCTAGCTGAAGAATAACTGAGAACCAATAAAAACAGAACAGTTGTTTTTGTTTCAAGTTAGGACTTTCCATATATACACATCTAAAATCCCACACGAAATCAAACCCATGATATACAGATTCTACGATAACCAGCATAAGTTTAAGTCACTGGTAAGGAATTCAATATTTTTGAATTAAGTCCTCTACAACCCGCAGTCAATGTCATTTCTGTTCTAAGACTTCTTGAGACATTGTATATGTCAAAAGACCCTTCATTAAGACTGAAGAAATAATAAGTTGAAAGGAAGGAAATTAAACAAGTTATTCAAGAATTAGGTTTATAAATAAGACCACAACTCATTTATTCATAGTACTAACGTATTTTAATAAGATTAACAACAACAAAAAGCAGTGTACTAACACGCTTTTCTTCAATAGAATGGGCCGTCGAACCACGTGAGTTCTGCATATGACTAGCTGAAAATTAAAAAAAACCGCTGCTAATTTTGGTTGATGAAAAAAAAGGGATGAGCATGATGTTACTGCTTAAAATGTTTATTTTTCAACGAATTTTGCTTTGAAAAATATTTATGTCACATTCTTACTGCAAAATAAACTGTATATGAATTCACATCGTTTCTCCTATGAACATAATGCACAAATTTTAGTTGAATACAAAAGATATATGGAAAACAAAATACAGTAGAAAAAATCTTCCACTGTTTTGCTTGTTTATTTGATTGGCTTTATTTCATTGTTAACATTTGTATGTATTTATAGATTGAAAGTTTTCCAATAAATTTGTTACCTTAGTTCTATGTTGACTGTGATCTGTTCATTAAATTTAATTTATATATTTCCATACCATCTATTTAATTTGAATCATACTGGGTTTTTTTTTCTATTTGTATCTATGTAAAAGCTAGTGGTTATCTAAACTAAAGAAGGTATGACAGAGGATTTAAACTTGCAACTTAGTGGCTTGAATTCATTTACTTTAGTTATTAAATTACCTCTTCTAGAGTATGGTTGATGATTATCGATTTCAACGCATATATTTCGACATCAATGATTTCACATATGAGTAGTATACTCATTAATAACAAAAATATTAGGTATAAACAATAAGAATGCCACTTAAAGATGATATCTATCCCTAATTAAAAACGAACTAAAAACAAAAAGAAGTTTTCTAATAGTATTTCATTTTATCGCTACTACTAGGAATAAGAGAGCTACTCTCAGTTATTACGATGGATTGTATTTTTATTAAGTCATGAAATGATGAAAATAACTAACTTTATTAGACGTAGTCAAGTAGTACCATTATGTTCTTTATCTCCTTTAACCAATGAAAATTTATAAAATTGAGCATTAAAATAATTTAATCTTAATAATAATTCATTGATTCTCGTTTGTTCTTTTTATCATATTTGTTTTTTCTCCTTTTTTTCAATTTCTCCTGCATGATATTGACAATTATACCGTTTATTTCCATAAACTATATACGCTTACACATATATATGTATATATATTTAAAATTACATACGTTAAATTACGTAACTGTCTTTACAATATTAATATAACTAATTGTACCTTCTTCTATCATTGCTGTGAAATTATATATCACCGCAAAATTTATCGAATAATCGCTGACCTGTGCACTGTTATTGGCTCTGATACCATTTAAATTCCTATGTAACTACTGTTTGCAATGCATGTAATATATATATGACTTCCTTGATGATAATTTTGGTCATATAAATCAATAAACAAATGGAGTATTTGTTCCATACTAGAATGCCAGAATTGAATGGATACAGATCACATGGACCAAGTCTGAATACATCAGAGCTTGAGACAAATCTTTATTATACAAGTCCAAAGACAACAATGGTATAGTCGGAAAAATAATAATAATAATTTGTGATTAATATTAGTTAGAAAGGGAATAGGTAGTTTACTCCTGAAGCTAATAAGATACAGCTATGATATATAGTTAACCTAAATAACTTTACCGGATGAAAATTGTTGTTCTTATAGACGAAATATAATTTAAAAGCTGATACCTGTTAAATAATTAGTAATAGTATGATGTATTTTGTAATTATCATATCAAAACTCCTTTACTATTATATTTATTACTTTAATAAAATGCTGTCGAACATGTATGACAATTCGATTGAATAGATTTAATGAAAAATTCATTTGTTTTAATTATTTAATTTTCGTAATTAGAAGTTAAAATACAATTTATGTAATGAAACAATCGTAAATACATTGAAACATTGATATTTATGCATGAAATATGTATGTATTTTGCATGGGTACGATTTATTTTAACTCTCAGTATTATTCAATATTGTTTAGTCTAGCAATATAAACTGTTAGTTTTCATGATATATATTGTATTGAATAGACAACTATTCCTATTTGATGCATGAATATGTGTATTACAAATGTGCCTATGTATTGGAAGATAATGTAACCATTCAAATAATTTAACTGATATTATAGAAAATATTATAAATTTCTTGGAATGTTACTTATTTCATTGAATAAACTACATATAACATATATTCATATAAATGTGTGTAGTTTGAAAGGAAAATTCTACGAACATTACTTGCCATCTCATCATCATTGTTTAAAAATAACAGTTATGAAAATGTTTCTACTTATATGTACTTGATTCAGTTCATAATATCATATACACTCAGTAATGTAAAGGAATATACAGTATAATGGTTTAATATAACGAACCGTATACATAAATCATATTCAAACTATTAGATAAAATACAATCAAGATAAGTAGTTAACAAGTAATCTATTAGGAAAGAATGAAGTTCTACACACACAAAAAAACAACCTATGATTAGTGATAAACAAACTTTTTGGGTGACTGGAATCAGTGAACTTGTTAATAATCACTTATATTTGTAAGACGGAATTACTGAATTTTTTGTGAAAAATTTAAGAATTCTGAAGCAAAAGTATTCAATTACAATTGCATTCAGTAAAATGTATATTTACAAAAACGATATCAAAACTAGAATGTTAGTGGATATTGCTGATATAGTTCTATTTACTATGAGCTACTAACAATTTTAAACTTATCCCGAGATATGAAATATAAGTATGCATGTAAGTAAAATATTTGTTATAACCAAAGTCTCCTAGTTTCCTATAATATGTTTGTATTTTATTTGTAGGGCTATGGGAAGGGATTAGTGTATCCTGAAGGTAGTCAGACTTCTGAACTAAGGGGAAGAATTAAACGTCTTTTGTGTCGTTCCCGACGTGATCCTCATTATTATCGTTATCTACCAACAGGAGTCGTATAAATACTTCAATTAGACTATAATGAATCCATATACTTGGTGTTTGAAGTGATTATTATTACTATTAAACTTATGTTATATTATACCGCATGCTTATTCAAATTGATAATCCCTTGATTTTGTTCTTCATGTTTTTATTACTCTCTCAGTTGAACTCCTATTTTGCTTTTTCTAATCTACATTATTCTTGTTATGATATTTCCTAGTTAATAATTTAATGAAGAAGAACAGTTTCAGCTTTTTCTGCAACACATGTTTATTCCCAAGTATATATATATATATATATAATTCTTCAAACTATTAAATAAAGAAAGCTATTTAAATGCCAATTACATTTTGGTTTTCATAATGACTAAGAATCAAGTGAAATACCTTTATTTCGTAGATAAAAAAGGACCGTAAGAATAAAAAAGAGAACTCCAAATAAACAAATTATGGTTTACAGTAGCTTTCACTTAATTTTAATATTGTTATTACCATTTCTATTCTTGTTCTTATGTTTCCCACTTAATGATTACACAATAAATATAATCTATTCTGCTAAAGCTGTGTTACCATATTATTTCATTATGCCAATCACTTGAAGAAACAAAAAAGAAAAAAACTAATTACAATATGGTTTTAATATTTTTGTTCTTTTATCTAATCTTTTTTTGAACTGTTTATTTATTTCAGTATGACTTCAATTCTTAATGACGTGGATTTGGATGAGTTAGTAGAGAAGACGTGTAGTTTAGGTGGATGACAAAGGTGAAGTTCTTTTGTTTGAGCTGGATGATTTGGTCGTGGAGCTTTCATTATTGTTCTGAACATCATCAGCATAAACTTCAGATAGAAGTGAAGTATTCGGATTTCTTCGCTGATGACTAACAGCTTATGCTGTCGACCTCGATCGTGATTGCTTAATGTAGACATATTATGTCATTCTTTGCAACTTTATTTTGATTGTTTCTCCTCTCGATCTGATTCTTAGTCCCATATTTGTCGACGATTATTGTGATTGGTTGGTAAGTTAGATCAATTCCAATGTTTTTTGACTGACTTGGTTGCCTAGCTTCTACAAATTCTCTGATGTTCTTAGTACGCCCTCTATCCATGATTTCGAAATTCCGCCTTTATTCTATCCTGAACGAATATTAAATAACATCATTGCTTATGTTAATGCATATAGACAATCATGGACACACGTTCGGCTTGAAAAATATTGAAATCTAGAATTTACATGACACCAAAAGCCCCAGAGAATTGATTTGATAGACAGATGAATTGATTTATAGACCTGTGGAGTCCAGTTTAGTTTGTAGATAGTCTCGTGCGCTAGAACGAAATATATATTCAGTATTTCCTGGTTCCTCAACAGAGATTAAAAACTGACAAATAATTAATATCAGCATACTAGGATGAAACAACTTCTCCTGCAGTTGTAATGTTTTCATCATTCATTTATTTTAATATAGTTTAGTTTAACAGATATAAATAAAGTCGACGAAATTATGGAGTTCAAGAAGAATGAAAATTAGATCAATACTCTGACTAGGACTTACGGATAAAAAGTACATACATGCTACATATAGGTTAAAATGTTGATTTGAACTTAATCCTTCAAAAGATTTACAAGAAAATGGTTTCAAATCACTTCTTTGAAGTGTATTAAAAAGAAATGGAGCCCCAATTAGAACTTTTTCGTGATCCATATGCTTCTAGATGTTAGTTTTTAAACGTATATAATGATTACTACTGTCAATTCAATGACATAAAAATATTTACAATAAATTGTTCACCGATTAGTGACGAGTATCATGTATGTCATTTATTTCTCAATAGCGACTTAATTATACCAATCAATTTGCTAACGCGTCTCAACTAGCACGAAACCCAAGACTTCCTAACGACTACCTCCAATCACTAGCTTACGTACAGATATAAACAATGAGTGAGGTAGAAACTGGAGACAGTATCAACTATGGGACAGAAAACAAAGTTTTGTAACTCAAAATAAACTAGCACTTTGGGTATTGACTTTAAGTGATTAAACGATAAATCTCTGGAATTACTATATTCAAGGTGACAAGCATTACGAAAATAACTAAACCTCATACCAACAAATTAATTTTGGGAATAGATTATGAGCATACCGTTTTCGGTCTCCTACTTGTCGTGTAAAACTGAATGCATAAATGATGAAGCTTCTCTACAACTCTCTATAATTCAGAAACATAAACCATAGAACAACTTATATTCTACGGCAAGGCTGTTATGGACTAGCATATAGTTAGAAAACTTTTCTGAAACGGTTACTGATCTAATTTACTGCTTCCAGTCAATATATGGCAAAGGTGATGAAGCAGTCACTACAATTAGAAAGAAGGTATATGCTTTTCGTCTAAATCATTTAACTACTGACAATTTGCTAGTAGTTCAATATATATCGTATCTTTTCCAAATTAAGACCAAAAAGATTAGGTTGTAGAATTTTCATTTTATATACATGTATACACATAGCTAGAAAGAAGCTACAAATGAATTGAAATTTTTCGCGATAATTGGCTAACTTAAAACCCCACTTTTACTGCAGATTTAGTTCAAATCAATTCAACTACGAACTTTCAAATGGATGTGTTTCCCTGTCGAAATTATTACTAAACTTTATATATCAATTTTTGATATTTTATTAAACTGCAATATATTAAACATTTAACACCATACAAATGTAACTGATGAATTAATAGTATAATAGCGAAGTAATGTAAACAGTATTTTCAGAATCAAACAAATAGTGAAGGGATGTTCATTTAGTTATGAATATAAACAGCAATTACTACTAAGTTTATTCTTACTAAATGGAAGAATTGCTATCAATAATTCATTAAAAAGTGTGTTATAATTACACTGAATCTTGTTCGGGTGTCAGAAAAGTCAAAGCATATATACTATACGATAGATTGGTGCTGTGGCTTAATGGTTAAGATCTGACTTTTAATCAGTATATCATATATTTGAGCCTTGATCTATCCACTTCGGTTTGGGCAACAAAGAATTTGTCCTAACATAATACTTAATGTTTAAAGTTGAATTACGTGACCCTGTGTTGTTTGATAATTGAGTTTCAATAATTTGTCGACAGAATGAAAAAGTAAATTATACAATGATGCAATATAATTGTTACAAAAAAGTAATGCCTACAAAGTATATGATGAAATATATGTATCGATAAGCAGAGGAAAAACCACTTCTGAGGTATACAATAAATAAGCATCTTTTACATATTGTTAACAGAGGATAAAATTGTACAAAAATTACAGCCAGAAAGTAATTAGTACGTTCACAGTGAATTATATAAATACTTAAAACAATATGATATATTCCACATGTGATAGAATATCTGACAATACTACTTTAAGGGTTGGATTGTTTTATAGATAGTCACAAAGATTGAAGAAAAATTGGTCAAACTATTCACGATACGTTTAGCCAGATGAAAGAACTGATGGATGAGTATAGTTTTTATTTGGCACCGAACACTGTAGAAAAGGAGGAAAAAGAAGAGAAATGCGACTTCAGACACCATATATTAAACAACATATTTTCAAAACGTATAAGCATATGCGCAAGGTTGATGGTACGGTTAAATTTGAATGAACAAAAAGAGAAAGCTTTGAAGGTAGTTGTATTGTAATGGAAAGACAAAAACTGAACATATCGAAAACAATTTTATACGAAATATGGCAGCCCTGAAATAACATTTTCCAACAACACAGTTTGAAAATTTGGTTAACTTAACCGAAATAAGTCTGTTGTGTTAATTTTTAATTAAACAACAGTTTGACCGATATTATATTTAGATTTTAATGCTTTGAGATCCCAGATAATAAATATTTTTACATCAAATAATCACTTAATTTGTAGGAGAATGAGATAAATTTATATAGATATTCGTGCTATAACTACATAAAGGATTTACAGGGAAATAAGAGTTATATTTCGATTCGGTTTGTAGTATATATGATGTATAAACTATAGGACGAAATATTTATTTACATTTGTAGGCATCATTACCAAGGTTTAACTTGATAATTCCGATTAAACTGAACATTGGGTAAACGGTTATAAATAAATAATATATTTGTGATGTCCCAATGAATAGAATGATCACATAATATTCGTGTTGTTCCGTTGTACTATTTAAACTTGAATTAATTTTAATTTGGTTATTTATTCTCTGAAGAAGTGGCTTACACTAGATCATGAAACGTCAGAAAATCTAACTTTTCTACTCATCGGGATATTATAAATATATTGTTTATTTATTTACATTGTAAATGACTTAATGACTAGCAGAAACGATAAATAAATGCAGAATAAGCTGATCTGCCTTCAGTCTGGTTGGAAACCTACAATAACAATCACATTAAAGAGTGGTAACCATTGGACTATTTTTAGTTAAAATGCTAATAATTAATACTTTTCACTGAATTTATCAGTATTAGAATAAACAAGATAAGTCGCAAATGATGATGGTCCTGTCAATTCTGAACTTATATATAGTTATATAATCGAAAAAGCTAAACATTCATGATATCACACAAAAACAGACTATATGCAAGCGGTTAGTGCACTTGCAATAATTAAAACATGTGAGATTGATATTGAACAAGTAGACTACCTGAAGAATGGCGACATGTGGATCATCCATATCACCCAAGTCAATGAAATCTCTTTCCGACGCTCTCATTTTGGCATTCTCAATTATATAATAATATTTCGGTGAGGAAATGCCAAAACTCCATGCCAACTTTTCCCCACACCAATCAATAACACGCAACAGAATATTGTTAGACTTAGACTAACAACAAAAAAAAACAAAATCGCTCATGATCAAAGTTAAAATAG